CTTACAGAGGGCTGGCTATTTCTAAGGGTGCTTTCAGGCTTCTAAGACCCCCCCATAGAAAATAAAATGGGTTGGGGGACTGCAGATTTGTGGGGGTGGGTGGGTTAGAAAGACGTCTCCCTGATTCTTGGCACATAAGCTAAAGGATTTGGGGGGGGCATAGATTGGTTTTAAGGCATGTATGATGTAGGGTAGAATTGCCCCTTTGCCTTCTGGGAAATAGAGTTCGGTGTATCCCAAGGGTCTCCACCTTGGCAACTTTAGGACGGATGGACTTCAACTCCCAGAATTCCTCAGCCAGTTCTCCAAGCTTGGTAGCTTTAAGACCTGTGGACTTCAACTCCCAGAATTCCTCAGCCAGTTCTCCAACCTTTGCAGCTTTAGGACGGATGGACTTCAACTCCCAGAATTCCTCAGCCAGTTCTCCAAGCTTGGTAGCTTTAAGACCTGTGGACTTCAACTCCCAGAATTCCTCAGCCAGTTCTCCAACCTTTGCAGCTTTAAGTCCTGTGGACTTCAACTCCCAGAATTCCTCAGCCAGTTCTCCAAGCTTGGTAGCTTTAAGACCTGTGGACTTCAACTCCCAGAATTCCTCAGTCTGGTTTCCAACCTTGGTAGCTTTAAGACGGATGGACTTCAGCTCCCAGAATTCCTCAGCCAGTTCTCCAAGCTTGGTAGCTTTAAGTCCTGTGGACTTCAACTCCCAGAATTCCTCAGCCAGTTCTCCAACCTTGGTAGCTTTCAACTCCCAGAATTCCTCAACTCTGGCCTATCCCATGCACCCAGCCCACAATCTGCAAAGCAGCCGTCACTCACAAGCATTGTCAAGTTCCTCTGATTGGAGAGGGGGAAATCCAGCGATGACACAACGGCCGATGTTAAATGAAGACTGTGAGACATGCGCCCCGTTCTTGTTCTGCAGGACAACTGCCGTCTCCTTCCCAACAAAGACCAGCAAAACTCAGACACGGATTCCTTTGGGGATGCTTGTGACAACTGCCCCAATGTCCCGAATAACGACCAGAAGGACACCGACCACAATGGGGAAGGGGATGCGTGCGACAACGACATTGATGGGGATGGTAAGACTGCCGATGCCCAACAGCTCAAGGGAAAGGTTGATCCTGTAACCACCCAAGGATTTATTCTTCCTTCGAGGGGGTCTTTGGTGCTCTCTGAGCTTGGTTGAGAGAGAGAGAGAATCCCTCCTCCTCCTAGCACTGATGATGTTACCTAGTCGGGCCATGAAATGTCCTCAAGGAAACAATGAAGCTCAGAGAGCATCAAGGACCCCCACAGTTTTCTTCTTCCTCCTCCTCCTCCTCCTGATACCCTACTCTCTCCTAGCACTGATGATGTTATCTAGTTGGGCAATGAAACATCTGCAAGAAAACCACAAAGCACCAGCGAACCCTCCCCCCAGTACAAATAAATACAAATACATCAACAGAGTTGGAAGGGACCTTGGAGGTCTTCTAGTCCAACCCCCTGCCTAGGCAGGAAACCCTATACCATTCTAGACAAATGGCTATCCAACATCTT